AAAAGAGAAAAAACCAATCTCCAAATATATGCATTCTAAGCTAATATTTCAGTTTACAAGTTAATAAACCAATTACGATCATGTCCATAAGAAATGCAACTAAATATCTTGAAAATAAATGTCTACAATTGGATCTATGAAATTACTTTGGGTAATAACACTCAATACCTAAAGTCAAGTGGATTTTAAACTTAGAGAAATGAAACTAAGATTCTTAGTAATTATGAAATTATTTTTAAAATTAACGATTAAAAAGTATATAAACCATCAAGAACGAGAAGTGAAAGCGCAAGTACTGAAGAATACTATTAAAAAAAATGAAATATGAGTGGAATCAATAAGTCTCTCTTATATCAAACTAGATATATAAATTTCTTGTCCTCATGGATAGTTCAATTAGTGGGGTGAAATTTGAGAACAATAATCCAAGATTGAGTCTCATCAGCGATAATATGGGAGCTACACTTCTTTTAGTATGTCAATAACACTTTAAATTAGTTCACGACACATGTTGGAAATTTCAATCCATGTCCAATAGAGAATAGAGACACATCCAATCAAATTAAACATGCCTCTCTGTTGAGCATATAATACTAATGTGCAATCCAACTATCAGCTTAGGCTTTTAGTTGAGATTGAGCAAATGTTTCAATTTGGTATCAGAGTCACTACGGTCCACGTGTTGCATCTAACTATCAGCTTAGGCTTTTAGTGTGCTCCAATTCTCTCAAGGTGTGAATATATATATATAATCTATAGATATAGATATTGTTGACAAGAATGTGTATAAATGGATGGTGAAGTCAATAATTTTCTTCCATGTTGGTGTTTTCTTTTCCACATAGGCATAGGCTTGTACCACCTCAACATGCTATATTCGGTCAGCACGCATGTTAGCCAGGGTGGTGTGGTAAAAGCCGTATCTCAATTTAATTTTCACTTTACCCATTATCCTATCCTAAAACCCCCAAATCGACATGACCGCCGCCCCTCCTCCGCCGTCCGATCCTCATCCCTTCCAGGGGCCGTACCGCCTGCAAATTGCGATTTTTTCAAAAGCCGATTCCAATACGGAAAAAAAATAAAAAAAATTACTATGCTCAATTCATCATACACATTGGTATTTTCTACGCCAAACAAGAAAGTTGACTCACGAGTGTGTGATGATTCACGTATTACAAGATTACAAATTTTATTCTTATTAAAATATTTTTGATCAAACCCATCCCACCCGATATTCCTAGTGCAGTTTATTTAGTTTCTCGTTTATTTGTGGTTTGTGAGCTATTATATATAAATGCAATTTACCATATTAAATTTAACTCATTGTGAGAGCTGTCTATTAACATTTCTATTTTGATTTAATAAACTATGAATCAACTAAATTTGTTTATCTCTTAGCGACGATAAATTTTTTCATAAATCATAAAGTTTATGTTACACGGGAGTCCCGAGAAAACAAGATTCAATCTCATGGGGACATATATGATTAAGATGCATGAATCATTGAATATATCCAGCTTTGCCTTCCCTATACACTATGTATTCTGATCCTGAAACGTATAGGCTAGGTTAGATCAATAATTTTAACTATTTCAGGCTAGTCTTTTCTCTTTTCTTTTCTTTTTTTTTTTTTGTTTTAATTTTTGGGTTTAATTTATAATATTTTAAAAAATAGTTTTGAAAATTGATGATTTGTTGTAATGCATTAAGTAGTGTTGAAGACTTTGGAATAAGAATTATTATATTCTTTCTTACTTTCCGACAGCCCCTTCCCTCCCACCTTAGGAATGAATATGTGCGTATGAATAAATGCAGTGTTAAATGATTTGATGCATCCAGGTCCGTTATTAATGAAAAATTAGATCGAAATATAAAAAATTTGATCAATTCTATATTATATTCTTAATTAAAGCATGTGCTTTAGACCATATATAGCAAACATAGGTAAACTTCTTCTCTCAAAAGGTTGAATTTCTAATTCTAAGGGCTCTCGATATCCTGACCAGCAGAATCCTCAGCAGACAGGGCTGCACAAGGAATCTGTCCACTTTGTATATAATCTCCATAGTGCAACTGTCGAGGTTCAAATATTGGTCTCTTTTCTCAAATATTGTCTACTGAACCATTAAGCTAAGCACGTGCAGACCAAACATAGGTAAATTAACCTAAGTATGTCTTGGTTGACCAGCTCAGAGAGACAGAGACCAATAAACAACCTTTAATTAGGAGTCAATTTTGTGACCTTAATGTCACAAGTTCATTGTCCGATCAACTCAGCTGAAATAAAAAATCCTACAAACTCCTACTTCTATTCTATTTTTATTCACGGTTAACTTAATTGCTTAATTAACCCCCAAAAAAAGTCACACTATTTTTTCTTATTTTCATTTTCTTTCTTGAGTATGAAAAATTTTATTTTTTGAAAATACATTATCATTTTTGCGAATATACACTTTTTATAAAAATAATGTTCTTTTCATTGAATTCCATGGTGCATAACCCTCCCATTTGCTCCACCATTGGCGGCTATCCATTCACTAATTAATAGTCCCCCACCCCCCGCCCTCAACCCCACCCCACATCCTCGCTATTCAAAACCACTTTTTATTGTCAATTTTTTCAAAATATAGGCCTATATACCATAATACTCGAAAAAGTTCAACTTGTATCAAGTTAAAGAGTTTTTTTTTTTAATTGATGAACTAAAAATTTATCGGACATAAATGATTATAAGTCATCATCTTGACAGATCAAAAGAATATAAGTTATACAAGTTATTTAGAAGAATTGAATACGTGGCAACCAATTGACAAGCACTTAGGTAATTGAATAAAAGATGATCAGAGAATAGAAATATATTCTTTTTCAATATTACTTGGTATTTAACTTATGCTATTTGATTCTAAGTTCATATATTGCCTTGTTAGACAGGGATGCATTAAGTACTTAAACTTTCCAAGTATGAAAATATAGATTGTGTTAATTCAAATTTATTGCAATTTTACTTGATTAGTAGGTGATGGATATATTAGATTTAGCTCAAAAAAAATTTATGCTCAAGAAGCTTGACACAAACTCAAATCAACATGGTAACTTCGACCATGACCGTGAGGTTGGCCTATTTGATCTGTCATTATATTGTACTAGTACAAAATACATCGAGTATAAGCGTTTATGATGTCATCATGACCGTTGGGGGTGGTGGGTGGATGGGTCTAGCTGATCGCTTGATCGCTCGAGCTTCCAGCTTGGTCTGCTGTTTTTCTTGTCCTGTGTTTGATGATGTAAAAGTAGTTTCGGTGAGTTTAGCGCATAACCATTTATAATAATGACGGATGTACATTTCTGTACTAGTGAGCATCGGTTACACATCAAACTAGGGGAGAATAAGTGATAATTACTCTAATATTGTACACTTTCTAAAACTAATAATCAATTAACATGTTAAAAGGTAGAGAGTAAAACACGAGTACCAAGAGATCTGAGTAACGAAAGAGTAGCTATCGAATTGAACGTCGACAACAGTGGAAAGTGGGTCTGCAGAGTGTAACAGTGATGAAGTGAGGGCTGAGGAGTTGCAGTAAGCAAAAACCCCACGAATTTTTCCAAATTAGTACGAACATAGGACCATTTTTCCCACTGTTTTTGTTTCGCTCTTGTTCATCCCATAATGCCGCATGCACTGCACTGCACTGCATGGATAAGGATTATACTATATTCTTTGACCAAGTGAATACAGTATTATTCTTATACCTAAACGTCATAAGTTTGATTCTTGTCAACAATTTTTGGCTCATGGTAAGTTGAATGTGTCAAAACTATATTTTCTAGATATAATATTTATACTTGTTGACTTTACGACTTATGTAGTAGATGGTTGGTCAATACAACCGCTCAAAAACAGGTAAATTGGTAACCGAAAGCTATAGAAAAATGTTTATTGCATGGTGAATCAAGGATTCCAAACCCTTTATAAAATTTCCCCTAAAACTATAAACAAACGTAGTAAAATTACAATTCAAAATCATCATACACATAGTAAAAAAAAATTGTCACGAAGGTAATAGTTGGAATTACATTTTAGGTTACGTTTGACCACCGTCATAATATAAATGCAAAAAGGGGATGATCGACAATGAAAGCTGCAAAGTAATTAAATTTGTAACGAGAGAAATAGACAGAAGAAATAATTGGTGGCATTCAGATAGGTCATAGGTGCAGGGCCTCCCTTCCTTTCACAGTTTCACTCACACTTCTTCTCTACTTCTCAAAAGCTTCATACTTCAAGCACAACATATATTACAAAATTAACAAGAAACTCAAACTAAGTTGGTATGACAGTTGACTTGATAATATAATTCAGCTAGTCAAGTAGTTAAGTCAATTAATATTGACAACAACTTAAATTGATTTCTCTTTGTGGTCTTTTCTCGGCTAGGGTCATAAGACGCTCTTGATCTTTACCCTGATGCAGGGCACATTCTAGTATAATGTAATACCGTTTTATTTTAATTTTTTTGCTCCCTCCTGTCTTGATGTGACATGTTGTTTTGATTGATAAAACATAAAAATTCGACTCACAATTTTCCTTCTTTGTATCTTCTTCAAATAAAATTTGGACATGCAACGATTAATAATTCCACCTTATCATTTTGGTTTGGGGTATTATGCCAAAGTTTCTATTCTAAGCTGTGGCCTTAAAAAGAGACACACAAATGGAACAAGAAATTAAAGTAATTATAAGCAGATGGCGTTCACTCCAACCGACATAATATATGATTTGGATAATTGGTTGTATATTTGGTAGTAATTCAACAACAAAACATTATATAGATCAAATTTAACCTGTAAAACGAGATTAATATCATTTCTTAGTCTACTCAAATATGAAAATTTTGAAAAACATTAGTTCATATAACATTGCATTGAGGGTCAAAGACCTGGCTGGTAGTCAAAGAGCATAACTATGGCTCTCCCACAGGTAGTGCAAAATGAAATGATCGAATAGACATGATGAATTGATTCAAGGAAATGAAAAATTGGAGTTATTGTAATAATTAGTGTACAATAATTTGTGTAGTGGTGGTACAAATGAGAGGGATAGTTTCAAGTGTAACATCAGATGATTTCTCCAACTCATCATTATCCTCATCATCATCTTTCCTGCACAAAATCTCCTCCAGATTGTCTCTCGTCTTCTTCTGGGCCTGTGGGCGTGGCGAAGAAGAAGAAGAAGAAGAAGATTGTGTGAGGTGTTTTGCTCTTTCTGCTTGGAGTTTCCAGTCGGTTCTGTAAAGGACGAAGAGCATAAGAATGGCGCATGAGGCTTGGGCGGCGAGAAGGCCGAGCCAGAGGCCGGGGAAGCCCATTTTGAGGAAAAATCCGAGGAGAATAGCGACCGGCATTCCGACGAGGTAGAATGATCCCAGGTTTATGTTGGCGCCGGTGGTCGGCCGGGCGCTGCCGCGGAGAACGCCGCAGCCGGTGGTCTGCGGGCAGTTTCCGAGCTCGCAGAGCCCCGCGATCGGCAATGCCACGGCGGTCAGCTCGAGAATCTCCGGGTCTTCCGTGAAGAATCTCCCCCATCTGTGCCTCATCACGGCGGCGAACACCATCGCCGCCACCCCCAGCCCGAACGCGCAGATTAAAGAAACCACCGTCGCAATCCGCGCCCGCGCGGGGCGCCCCGCCCCGAGCTCGTTCCCCACCCGCGTCGACACCCCGAGGCTCAACGCGGACGGGAAAACATAAACCAACGAGGTTGTCTGAATAAGAATCCCCATGGAAGCAATGGCGGCCTTGGGGTTCCCCAACACCCCACACATCATTATCATCAATTCATACCACCACCACTCCAAACAAACGGAAATACACGTCGGAACCGCCAATGCCAGCAGCGACGACCACCCTTTCAGGCAGTCAACGCTCACGCCGCCGACGAAACACTCCTTATACACGCCGGAGAAATACACAAACGAGCAGAGTAGCAGAAACAAGTTTAAATCAGTCCACACCATCGCCACCGCCACGCCGGCGATCCCCAGCTCAAAATACTTAACCAACAGAAAATTCAGCGGCACGTGGAGAAGAACAGAGATGGCGGCGCAATACGTCAGCGGCAACGTAATCCCTTGCGTCCTAAGATAAATCCTGAGAGGATGAAGCAAAGAGAGGAAGAACAAATCCGGGATAGCGAAGACGATGAAAGTATGCGCCATTGATGAAATCTCCTCGTCTTGGCCGCACCATAAGAGAATTTTGTTCATGTTTAGCCACATGAAGGAGATGGGGACGGAGGCGGAGAGGAGGAGGAGGACGGTTCTCTGTAAAGTTATCCCCAGAAGCTTCATTTGCTTGGCGCCGTAAGCCTGGCCGCAAATGGGCTCCATTCCCATGGCGAGGCCGGCGATGACGGAGTAGCCGGTGATGTTGGCGAAGCCGATGGAGAGAGAGCCGCCGGCGAGTTCGAGCTCTCCGAGGTATCCCAGAAAAAGCATGGAGATAAAGGCTCGAGAGTACAGTAACAGCCCTGTTATGGCCGTCGGGCCCGAAATCTTCCCTATAGCTTTGATTTCTTCAATCGCCTGAGCAATTTTCAACAACATACATGCAAGGAAACATAAGTAAATGAAACAATTTTTCTTTTCTTTTCTTTGAACCATTTTATGTCGTTCTATAATAATAATAATAATTATTATTATTATTATTTTTGTTTTGGTTTACCTCTGAGTAGGTTGGCCATCTGTGAAGCTGTTGTTCTTGATCATCAGAAAGAGAACCCATGGATTTATACTGGGATTTAAAAGATGGGGTTTTTGGTATAAAGACAAATGAGGATGGAGAAGAGGGGTTTGAATTGGGTTTCAAATATCCATTTATAATCTATATATACATATATATGTATATATATATATATATATCTTCTGTATGTATAGTATAATGGAGTTGTAATATATATATAACAGTAAACTGGGGGGTGGGGGGTGTAAGGGGGTTTGAAGGTGCAGGGCTTTAGATGTAGGAATGTGTGTGTGTGTGTGTATATATATATATACATGCATGCAAGGATACCATCGTACAATATAATGGCTTCAATGGCGTGTCAATCTTCGAAGGTTCAACTCTGTTTGTGAGAGAAACAATGAGGGGTAGGGGCCTGTTCAACTTGCACTATTTTTTCTTTTTTTCTTTTTTTTTTTCTTTTTTATTTTACTGGATTTGACGTACAAGATTCACTTTGACAATGACAAGTTTTTTCCCTTTTTCGAGCCCATGTGTATGCAGAACCGTTCTTGAAAGAGTTGATTGCAACACTATCTATGGAAGAGTCGACCTTGAAAAGAGTATGAATGAGATTGCTACTCGCTAGGCTAAAGTAGTTTATCTCATAATATGTGCGTAAATACCAGGTGCAGTATGTAGTATGCTAAAAAAGGTTAGAGTTGATGGTATCGAATAGTAATATTAAATTTCACTAATAATCAAGAATTGATTGTTGTACGTTACTTAGATGTTTAAAGAAACTTTATCACCGTGTTATGTGCTGCTAATTACATCATTTGTTCGTTACTGGATTTATTAAAAAAGTTCTACTTTTTCTATTTCTCTATTCTTTTTTATAAAATGAAAGACGGATAATGATTAGATTTTTTTTTCATAAGTCGTGACAAAACAGTGTTATGGGTAGATCAAACAAAACGATGGATAGATGTCGGGTTGAATTTACCCAAGTAAAAGGAAAGAGGAGGAGGCAATTTGGGGCCATGAAAGATATAGATAGGTAGCATAGATGCATATATGGTTGTGACTTGTGACCACTTCATGTACTAGACTAGACTAAGTTGTAAGATTCCTCATGTATATATGAATGAGAGTTTCCAGTTCATTAAGTAAAAAACAGGGAATAATAATAGGCGGTCCACAATAGATTAAACTTGGGGGATTTTAAGGTGGTGAAAATGGCAAAACATGATAGGGTGTTGGGAATTTGATTGGATTAATGATATTGATTAAGTTAAGGTTTAATTAGACGTGTTGGATTAAGTCCTAAAACCTGGCCTAATTTTAGGTTACGATTTCTATCCTCCTTTCTCTCTGTCGTCTCCCATTCCTGCCAGTCTGCCACTCTTTGTTTAGCTTTCCACCCTAAATAGGAAAAAGGTGATGCCAAGGGAATAAGAAGATTATCTTTGTATTTGGCAAGTGGGAGAGGAATGTAAATGGATTGGTATCATTTTCTCCAACATAATTTTGATTCTTTCATTTAATTACCTGATTTGAGAACTATTACATAATTTTGATTCTTTCATTTAACTTGAGACCTCTCATGTGAGGGGCCACAGTTATGCTGCTGGACCAGGCCTTTGGCAGAGTTAATTTACTTGTACTAAAGATAAATTCACACAAAATTTTCATAAAATGTTTAGTTTTCCCGCCATTATGAGATTAATCTGAATTTTGTCCAAATTATATGTCTTATTATAGTATTTGACACTCATTGATTTTCCGACATTGCAATTGCCAACAGTTCTAAACAGTTGGGTAGAAAATGTTCAGTTTGTTCACACACGACCCTGATATCTCGATCTAAGACTAATCAAGAGTTGAATTAGGTCAGGGTGACAATATTGATTGTCGGCGGTCTCAAATTGTTAGGTTGAAAACACTCAGCTTTTATTCAGTTAATAATTACGGAACATGTAGGTTGAGAGCGACCAGAAGTTTGATTACTAAAAAGGCAAATTACTCAAACATAATTCAATGAATTGGCATGATCATAGTACTTACATTGGCAGAGTGACATTGGAATTGTTGGATTGGTGGAGGGAGGGCAAGACATATATTCATGTGTAAGTTGTTGTTACATTACCTTCAATTCACCGCCCATGTGATGCTTCGCAGTCCTGACCACGACTTACGTTGTCTGCGACCCAATTTAACACCCAAACACCGTTCAGGGGGTATGGCTACTTGCCCTTTTTGAGAGTTACATGTTCCAACATTTATTGCAAACTCTTTCCCCTTAGGTCCCATGTAGTGTGTTTTGGGTTCTATCCTTCTTTTTTTCTTTTAAAATTTATTACATCCTTCATTATCAAGAGAGTGATTGCTGGTGAGATCATTAATTAGTGTACTCTGATATTTGTGTTTTCCAGGTGGTTCAAAATTGGGGAGAGCTATAGTGTCATTCCTTATCCTACATTTGCGTTCATCGTTGTCGAATAGTAGGGTGCAAAATTTGAATCCGATGACCAAAAGATGTAGATGTATGAATTTAGTCTAGTTGTAGATACTAATGTGCAAGCATTTTTGGGCTTATAGGCCAATTAAGACACATCTTACGATTTACCTTATACACATGTCTCCAAAGCAGAAGTGGTGAGGATTCTTAAGTTTGGAATACTTTTCATTTGACTAACTCGTTCTAATGCCATAATAAAATTCTAAAAAGGTTTATGATAAGAATCTTGATGTTGGAAGAGAATTTTGATGATGATCCTAAACTATTGCTATTAGATTTCATGTTCATTTTTTTTTTTTGTAAATTAAACATTTAATCGGTGTTCAATAAATATAAAATTCAAATGAAATGAATGTCAAGTTGATTCAGATTTCAGAATAGATACCCACGTTTACTATACATTAAAAATTACAATTACTGTGTCAACCTTTACTTGGGTAATCGTAAAATTTCAAGTTTGACATCAATAAAGTTTCCTATTAACCTTTTTAATTTAAATCGGTTAGCTATACACAACTTAAACTAGTTTATTTATTTGTAGTCTTTTTGCCATCAGGCTAACTTCGCCCAAAGAACACCTTTGGTAGCGGCTGAAGGCTTAATATTTCTGGTACACTAACAATAGGAATTGAGGAATTTTAAACAAAAAAAAAATGTAGTAACTAAATATCGCAAAATAATGGTATTAAAAAAGGACAATTTAATGATCTACTCATAAGTAGCAATCATGGCTGGTCCATTTTTATATGGAACTTATATTTTAGGCATTTGTTTTAGTCCTAAAAATGAAGCAACTTGTTGTGTGTGGTGGTGTCTTGTCAAACTCCTAGTCGGCTAGTCCTAGTCCTGGATAATCTGAATTTGCAAATCGATTTTTATCTACACAACACCTTACACCTATGCACATGATAACTTTGGTTGGGTGATGTGAAACATCACGCAGGATTTGAGACATGTATGTATGTATGTTCATTACAGAATAACTGCACCTCTGCCCCTACACTCAATTCAATTTCTCCGCGATTAAACTATAGCTTATTCGTTTTTCATTCTAAACCATCCGTCTTCTGTGTCATAACTATATTGCAACCTGACATTTGATACTCCTCCGTACATTTAATAAGCATATGAGAGACATGAGAATTCAACTAAAAATCTCATCTTTTTTGAACCCTAACCCTAACTTAAAATAGTCATTTTACTCAAAAACACAAGTCATTGTTCGTAGTTGTTGTCAACATACAATTATATATATATATATATATATATATATATATATATATATATATATATATATATATATATATATATATATATATATATATATATATATATATATATAGAAGCGCTCACATGTGGCCATGTTGTTAGGTGTGGTCATATGGTCAATTATAGACCATTAGATTAGATAGATCTAATGATTCATATTAATCAAGATTTTTTCCAGTATTTTCGCACACATTCTCCTACCCAGAGAACTGTAAGGGTAAACTTGTCATAAAACACCGGAATAGGGAAAATCACATTGTTGTGTGTTTTATTACACTATTGGTGCATGTTGTCAACACTGTTGGTGTATTCTGAAACCCGACCGCTATAACTGGCCATTGTAATTACCATAACACGGGAATACACCATTGGTGTGTTTCACTGTGGTGTGTTTTATTACACTATTGGTGTATGTTGTCAACACTGTTGGTGTATTCTGGAATCCGCCCGCTATAAATGGTCACTGTAATTACCATAACACCCCCACTTACTAAAACGCGCGAAAATTCTGAGAATTACCACTGCCTTTAGATTAAACTGATTCAACGACCCAGATACGACCACACGACCACACCTAATGACATGACCACATATGAGCGTTTTTCTATATATATATATATATATATATATGGAATGATAGATCGAAAACGCAGAGAAGGGGACCACTGAGGAAGGCTTAACGGAAGGTGACAGTGGGGGTGGATGGGATATGGAGAAGCGGCAGACGGGGGGAAAGGGAACACACTGAAACCAAGGATAAGGAAAAATATTGGTGTTCAACAAACAAACAAACCCTTTCCCCTTTTCCCATTTCCCCTTTAACTTAACGTGTTTACTTTCCAGCCATTTAAATTTTTTTGTATCCCTGCAGCACAAATCAAGGATGCGTGTCTTTTATTGTGTTGCCGCCTCTGTTTCTGTGCGTCTGTCCCTAACCTAAACGCCACCGTAGAAACCGCAACCACACATCTTCAATCCATAATATGTAATTTACATCCTTCCAAATGCTCGGTTGAGCCAGGGGAGTGGGTTGAGAATTGAGGGAAAAGATGAAGAATATTGGATCTGATTCACAGGGTAGGGTCCAAGCCCATATCAAGAGGAATGAAATTCATGACTTGCACCAAGTTTCTGCTTCTACAGAAGACGATAAGCATCATTTTTATGCCAAAGTTCAGTACGCAGAGAATAAAAGCAACTTTTGAGACACAGAGGAAGCTGGAATTTCAGTTTCTTTATCAAACATCTAAAAATGACCCAACATATTTTCAAGGATGGCCGTTCTGTATAAAAAGAACAGATCCTTTTATTCTAATTCTACCACTGGCATGGCATGGCAGCTAATCTCAATAACATAATATTCATAAATAAACAAATAATAAAACAAAAGTATGATTCCTAGCCTAGCAGCCTTGGGAGAACTTCCATACTTAGCATCTCAAGTAAACAG